TAAAAGTAGGTCAATGTCAAGAGGAGTACGTCCCAATTAGACATAGAAAACGCATTGCTTGTCTGATGGTTTTGTGATGGGAAAACTCTGACCTCTTTCTTTCCTTTATTTATTGTGGCTTGTGGACGTCATGAGAAGATATTTAGTGAGCGTTTCCACATAAGAATGGTAAAATTCCAAAATAGGGGAAAATAAAATTGAAATTTTAGAGTTATATTTGGACATAAATATAATTTTGGGTTTATTTTGAAGTTTTGTTTGAGTGAAAATTTTGAAAAACAGTTTTATTTTTTAAATTTTCAAAAATTTCCAAAATGCATATTCAAGTGAAAATTGAAAATTTTATAAACAAAAGCTGATTTAAGAAAAAAGTAAAAATCTTTTGGAAAAAAGAAAAAAATTTTGTATGTCCAAACGGGCTCTTATTCACTTCCACATACTGTCTTTTCTTTGTTCCATTTTGCTCGAATATCCTCTATATGTAGAACAACTTTTCAAAATTTAGATCCATAATTAGTAATTATACCCTATATATGTTTGATTCTTTCTTCTTCCCTCCTCCCCCCGGGGTTCCCCCCCCCCCCCCCCCCGGGTAATGAAAGCTTAGAAAAAATTCCATATATTAACCTCTAAATTTTTGTTGCTTAACTTTGCCATCTATTGGTAGTTTTGTAACCAAAATACTATTTTCATACTATCATATTGCCTTTTTCCACCAACTCAGTAAACAAAGTCTTCGTTGGTTTTTAATAATTGTGCACATAAGCTGACATGTAGATGAAACATGTAATCAAAAGTTGTGTCAGCGGACACATGGAAAAATTTATGTGAGCCAATGAATGAACGGACACGTGTATTATAATAGATGTAATTGTTCACCCATGACGTTACAATTCAGAGGTAAGTTTGGATGTTTTACCTAATAAAATCATGAAACTAAATAGTACACTGTAGTAGCTGTCATAAAATAACATCGTTAACAATCTCATATCATTGCAAAAAAAAAAAAAAAAGAAAAGATAAAGGGCATGTATTAGAGATGGAAAATGGATTGAATGAATGGAGACAGTCACTGCTATTTAATCTTATATATTTTTACCTCATATTTTGTACTAAATGACCAATCATCATCTTCTCTACTTTTCCACAAATCTTCATCAATTCAAACATAATCCTAACGATGTCGAATATCCTCTTGAAGTTCGTCTAATTATATCCAGCTCTAATGTTGAGTGTATATATATTTACCCTGGATTTAGGTAAAAATAGTATTTTTAATCTGAACTTGTCAACATTAAAATTTGATTTCTTATATTTCCCTATATTCAGGTTTAAAAAAAAAAAAATACATTGGTATATTTCCTCAACTCGCCAACCCTAATATTATACCCCAGATTCATGACTTTGAGGGG